AAAAGTCTAATGTTGAAACGCAGCTGCACCTCAGGCGCAAGGCTGCTTGGATGTACGAGTCACACTAAGCTCTCAGCCCTAAGCTCTGAGCCCTAAGCCCTCCTTCGGGTTTTGGTGAACGTCTTCTCCTGGATGGAAGGGAGTCTTCAAACACCTTTGAAAACCCTAAACCCCTGAACCGCAAAAGCCAGCGAGCAAAGGGGCAGGAACTGCCCCCGGCAGTTGTCATTGTCAAAGGAGAAGGGCTCCACGCTGTTGCTGTGAATCCTGAAATCAGGCTTGGTTCGGGGTTTAGGGTTTAGGGTTTGAGGGGTTTAGGGTTTCAGGTGATTGTGGTTGAACAGCGTTTCGCGTGGGGGCGGGGGGGACTTCAAATGCTATAACGCTCTCAACCTGAAGGTCTTTCCGGGTCTGTGGCCAAGGCTTGTAGGGGGGCTTGTGAGTGGCGGGGGGGGGGGGGGGGGGAAGGGGCGGGGGGGAAGGGGGGGGGAAGGGGGGGGGGGGGGGGGGGAAGGGGGGGGGGAGGAGGGGGAGGAGGCGGGGAGGGTGGGGAGGGGGGGAGGGGAGGGGGAGGGGAGGGCGGGGGCCGTCTTGAAGTTATAGTTTTGAATTCGAGCTTGGGCTGTACAGTATTGCTTCTCTGAAGCGATAGACCAAGGAAGTCCTACTCGGACCCCTAACTAAGGGCCACCCCTGAGAGTTCCCTTAACATCCAGGGCCACCCCTAAGAGTTCCCTTAACATACTCCTCATATGGCCCTTATATTGCCTTACAGGATCCTTAGACGCATGGAGCTCGGACCCTTCAAAAACACACCCTTGCAGGAGCCATCCTCACTCCCCACCACCTTGAAAGAAACCCTTAACTCTAAACCCCTCCTAAAACCCCAAACCCCTTAAACCCTAAACCCTAAACCCCAAACCCCAAACCCGAAACCCCAAAAAACCTACACCCTAAACCCAAAAACCTACACCCTAAACCCTAAACCCTAAACCCTAAACCCTAAACCCCAAACCGGGGAGCAGTTGCGTAGGGGGCTGGAAGCCGCCCTCCAGGTGGGGAACTGCCGGCATGCCCATGGCCAGGAAGTCCTGCTGGTTTAGGGTTTAGGGTTTAGGGTTTAGGGTTTAGGGTTTAGGGTTTAGGGTTTAGGGTTTAGGGTTTAGGGTTTAGGGTTTAGGGCTAGGGTCTGGGGTTTAGGGTTTAGGGTCTGGGGTTTGGGGTTTAGGGTCTGGGGTTTAGGGTTTCGGGTTTAGGGTTTGGGGTTTGGCGTTTGGGGTCTGGGGTTTAGGGTTTAGGGTTTAGGGTCTGGGGTTTAGGGTTTAGGGTCTGGGGTTTAGGGTTTAGGGTCTAGGGTTTCGGGTTTTGCATTCAGGGCTTAGGGTTTAGGGTTTGACTTCAAAGGTCCGTAGGGCTTCGACCCGAAGCCCTGAGATTAAGACATTCAAGAAACAGAGGCCCCTTAAGTGCCTTTAAGCCCGAGATCTCAATCCTAAAGATGTTTGCCAGCCTTCAAACCTTCATCCCGGCCCAGACCCTAAACCCTAAGCCCTGAAGCCCTAAGCCCGATACCCTGAACCCCAAACCCCAAATTCGCCACCTTAGGACTTTCAGGGGCTCAGGGCTGAGGCCCCGCCCTTCATGGCTTGCCTCCAAAACCCTAAACCCCAAATCCTAACCTTAAACCCTAAACCCCAAACCCTAAACCCTAAGCCCTAAACCCGGTGGCCGGGTCAAGAGTGCAGGGTTAGGGTCTAGGGAGTTCGATTAGGGTTCAGCGCTTATGATTCCGGGGTGCGGGGTGTTGGGTTCCAGCGTTCAGGGTTCAGATTCTTTGTGGGGGGTCTAGGGGCTTAGGCGTTTCAAGGTTTGGGGCTTCAACAACAAACCCTAAACCCTAAACCCTAAACCCTACACCCGAAACCCTAAACCTAAACCCCAAACCCTAAACCCCAAACCCTGAACCCTTTCGGCTCTCCTCCTCTGCGAAGTCCTCGGCGGAATGCTCGACGGCATCGGCGTAAGCCCGTTTGGCAGCTGCAGTTCGGCGGGAGCCTGGAGCATTGTGTGTTGGGTTTAGGGTTTAGGGTTTAGGGTTTAGGGTTTAGGGTTTAGGGTTTAGGGTTTAGGGTTTAGGGTTTAGGGTTTAGGGTTTAGGGTTTAGGGTTTAGGGTTTAGGGTTTAGGGTTTAGGGTTTAGGGTTTAGGGGTTAGGGTTTAGGTTAGGGTTTAGTTAGGGGGTTTACGGGTTTAGGGTTTAGGGTTAGGGTTTGGGTTTAGGGTAGGGTTTAGGGTTCGCGGTTTATTTTTTTAGGGGGTTGGGGTTTGGGTTGGAGTTTCGGATTAGGGTGCCGGGATTCGGGCGGGGTTGTGGGTTTGGGCTCGGGGTTAGGGTTTAGGGTTTAGGATCGGGCGTTTTTCACGGGTCCCGCGACCTGGCGGCGCGTTGGATGGGAAAAGGACATGAAAACCTCCCTCTTCCCATCCTTACGGGGGGGGGGGGGTGGGTGGGGTTCGGTGCAACAATATTTTTGGAGGACCGCTGCCACCCGCACAGCGTAAACAGGCGGTTCAGCACAGGGCGTTTTCGGGCCCCACCCCACCCCAACCCCCCCCCCCCCCCCCCCCCCCCCCAACCCCCCCCCCCCCCCCCCAAACCCCCCCCCCCCCCCCCCCCCCCCCCCCTACCCCCCCCCCCCCCCCCCCCCCCACCCCCCCCCCCCCCCCCCCGCCCCCCCCCTCCCTGTCTTTTCTTTTGGGCTGTTTGGTCTTTTTGGCTTGCCCCCGAACCCCCCCCAACGTTTCACAGAACTCTGCCGAGCAGGCTGGATGATCTTCGAACCATGCGAGCGAGGTGGGTTTAGACCTCTCAACTATGCTCCAGCGGGGTCGGCGGCTTGAGCCGGAGGCTCTTAAATTTAGCGTTTAGGATTCGGGGTTTACGGGTTTAGGGTTAGGGTTTGGGGTTTAGCGTTTTAGGGACACTAAAAACGCAGGTGCAACATTCTGGCTTAAGATGTTCCAACTTCAGCGTCGAGTATGGTCACGCAGCTTTTCAGGAGATAGAGAAGCACCTGCCTCGCCCCTAAACCCTAAACCCTCAGACCCCAAACCCCAGACCCTAAACCAGACCTCGTAAGGGCTTGCGGGCTATTTGTGAGCATACTGTAAGGGTTCTGTGGGTGCTGCTTTGAACGGTTTAGGGCTTAGGGTTTAGGGTGTAGGGTTTAGGCAACGGTTTAGGGTATAGGGTGTAGGGTGTAGGGTGTAGGGTGTAGGGTTTAGGGTTTAGGGTTTAGGGTTTAGGGTTTAGGGTTTAGGGTTTAGGGTTTAGGGTTTAGGGTTTAGGGTCTGTGCAGACCACCGCGCCCGAAGAGAAGAGGAGCCCAAGGGCTACCAGAACAAAGCCTTGGCTGCAACCGCGTAGAGTTTTTGAGGGGTATTGGGGTTTAGGGTTATAGGGTTTAGGGTTGGGGTTTAGGATTTAGGGTTTAGGGTTTAAGGTCTAGGGTCTAGGGTCTAGGGTCTAGGGTCTAGGGTCTAGGGTCTAGGGTTTAGGGTTTAGGGTTTGGGGTTTAGGGTTTAGGGTTGAGATATGCTAGGAGGCGGGGGTTTCAATGGGGGGTAACTAACCCAAGGTTCCCCAATACTTCCCACTACTCTCTAAAAGCTCCCTAAGCTTCAGGGTTTAGGGTTTAGGGTTTAGGGTTTAGGGTTTAGGGTTTAGGGCCCTAAGTTTCTCCCCATAAACACCCCTCCCGTAGGGACCCTAGAGATATAGAGCGAGAGGGTGATAGATTGATCAGGTGATTGGAGTGAAGCGTCAGTAAGGCCCATCTATAACTAGGATCTTAGATTTAGGATGTAGGGTTTAGGATCCTCTGAAAACCATTCCTAAATCTGATCCGCATATATATATATATATCCTACATCTGATCCACTTACACCCCATGATATATATATATATATATATATGTATATATATATATATATGTATATATATACACATATGTACATATACATATACATAGACATATACATATACATATACATATACATATATATATATATACACATATATAATGTATGTATACATATAGTGTACTCAGTAAGGTTCCGAAGCAAAAAAGATCTTCTATCAGAGGTCTTGGGAGCAGCTGGCGACGATAAGCACCTGCGACAAAGGCACTCGGGTCTGCGATCCCTCGAAGGGCTTCAAAGCTTTGACACTTTAACACCGTAAGGACAGATAGGGTCTAGGGTTTTAGGTTTAGGGTTTAGGGTGTAGTTAGGGCTTAGGGTTATCTACTTTCCGAAAACCGAGCTGCAAAAAATTGGCATTCTACCCCAATAACCCTGACCCTAGAACCTCATAACGCTGTAAGCCTCTACTGCTTCACTCCTACATCCTAAACCCTAAGCCTAAACCCCAAGTCCTAAACCCAACTACCATGATCCAAATGGCAGAAGGGGCCTGGGATTCAGATTACCCCACATTCAGGGGCATCTCCCAAAATAGGGGTACCCCTCTCATACCCCAAATGGAATAGAACCCCCTTAAAGGGACCGCCCAAGAAGGGAACCCCTGTTTTCGGAAAAACCACGATATGAAGGCTTGGGGTTCATATTGCAAAGAGGGTTTGCTGACCCGAAAACTTGGGCTCCGAAGGGGTTGAAGGCTCATAAGGCTGTAGGATCTTAAGATTATTCCTAAACCCTAAACCCTAAACCCTAAACCCTAAACCCCAAACCCTAAACCCTAAACCCTAAACCCCAAACCCTAAACCCTAAACCCCAAACCCTAAACCCTAAACCCAAAAAAAGTCCTAGGCCCTCAGCCCTCAGTCCTGGATACGCCCAACCCCTCAAACCCTCAACTATGGGCTTGTGCGCAGATTCGGGTTCGGTTTAGGGTTTAGGGTTTAGGGTTTAGGGTTTAGGGTTCAGGGTTCAGGGTTCAGGGTTCAGGGTTCAGGGTTCAGGGTTCAGGGTTCAGGGTTC